TGGAACGTGAAGTGACCGAATGAAATTTAGCAATAGCACTCAAGGATACGGAACGCCGAAGTGAACGATTCGGAAGAATGTGGCATAAATCCCAGCTGCATACACTGGAGGGAATCGGTTCCCACGTGGTGGTTGTCTGACGCGGTGAGGAACTGAGGAATATTGTTGGAGAGCGATGTTGTAGGGAATGGAAGGAATGACAATAAAAACCTTAAATCAAAAAGCACATGAAAACATGATCAACTACGGATGTGGTGTTCGAAGTTTGGCATAAATGCTGGCTTTTTTACCAAATATCACTGTGATAAATAGCGAGAGAGAGAAAACTATCCATCGGAAAGGTGTGTGTGTGTTCTATCTACTCACGATGAAGAGCAACCAGATCCCCAGGATATGATGGGGTTAACTACATGAGGATAGTCGGAAGCATCTTGTCTATCTAAACAGGACAAATCCAGAACGATTAACGTAAATAGTACCACCGTGAAGCTGGTGATGTAAAACAGATTTTTAAATCTATTAGACTGTTACCATGGGTTTCAATGGAAGAGATAGACAAATTTCACAATCAGAGGACCTATGTAAAGAGTGAAGAGTGATACCAGGGCATTCAGCTCCAAAGAAAAAAGAATGCAGCGTTTACCAGATCTGCGCAGTGCGCGGTAATAACTTTGCCTCGAACAAGTTGCTGCCAACATACACCAACATAACATGGTAGTAGTCAAATGTGATTAATGCCCGCACATCAAAAAAGCAAGCCAGTGAGGTCTTAGGCTATTGTAACAGGGCAATCAACAGATGGCTTATTATATGTTGGCAGTAACCAGACTGGATCTTTTGGAATTCGAGTCATGAGCATTTATGGCACTAAAAAAACCGAAGACTGTAATTTACAACAAGCCTACACGAAACGAAGTGTTATGCTGCCATACACGGAAGTAAGCCGTGGATAGAAGAACGTTCACTTATGCGTTCGACTTTAGTCAGGTAGATCTGGTAATACTATAGACAGGTTGTTACAGTAGACCAGCGATGTTCTGAAAACGTTTTGAGTATATTCAACCGGAGATGATTTCGTTGCAGCAAAAAGGCACCAATATGCATCGGAATGATTGTGTTGTGTGAGTCGGACCAGTCAGTGTGTCGCACCCTCACCACTGACCTATTGTCCAACTTGACTGTCTGGAGTGAAGACGCATGACTCCGATGTAAACCTCAAATCAGTTTTTGCACGGATGCACTCTGAAATCTAACTCATGCCCAACATTACCCAAAATGAAGGTGATTGATTGATTATTCTGTCCACTGCAATATGCGGGTTCTTTTTCAGCCTACTCGTAAAAATTGGTATATGTATACATACATGATAGGGAGTTTCACATGGTTAGAAATATTGAGGCCGAGATAAATTTCAACGAATTAAAGAGACCAGAGAGTGTTTTCTGCGTCAGGTTTAGGCTCCAACAAGGTAAAAGTCATTTTTAATCTCCAAAAGTGTTATTTCTGACCGGAGTAATATAATTACAGTCGTGTTATAAAATTGGACCTTTAACAACCATGCCAATTATAAATATGAACTCAGTTGGGAGCATTGGTACGATCCGAGTATGGACTGTGGACATCAAAGTTTGATGAGTCTATAGATACTTGATAATCTACGCGTTCCACATATCGATTGTTACCCTCTCGCATTAACCTCTACAGAAAATTCTGGCGGTCAGAAGATCCATCAGTGTCTAAATGTATCACAGGGTAAAACTGATATCTTCTATCGTCCACTTGTGATTGCAGAAACGGGAGGGGTGGGGTGGGTAACTTAGTGCGGTTCCCAGTGTTTCACAAATCGAAGATTATTCGGCGCAATTATATGTAACGCAATATCAGGTCTGACATGAACACCCTTGGTCCGGGATCAGAGATCCCACTAAATACTACTAGTAATGCGCGACAATATTATGCACTTACTCTCCAATTGGAAGGAACAAACTCGCACTGTGACTGCGTAATGGCCACTGAGTGACCGAGGATGGGATGAGTAAACCATCCACCTGACAAGCAGCATCTGCACAGGTTATTGAGCCAGCCGCATCATCCATCGTGACAGACTCATTATGTGTTTGGCTCGAGTGGCGCGAGTGATCACTGTTTGTAGCTTGCGTTAGGGGGCACAGGCCCAAATGTTCAGCCGGTTGTCTAGAAAACTGGAATAGCCCACCGGATGGTTGAGGAATGGTACGTCTTTGTGCACTTTTGATGAGTTCCTCGCGCAAATAATCAGCCAAATGGGTCGGCAGAAGCAAGGACAACTTGGTCAAATCGTCAGTGGTGATGCAACATGTGAGCGCGGAGTCCGCAACGGGAAACGTTTCATTGGTTTCAGTGGATGCATCTGTGTCCTCAATACTCCATTTCGGGGTGGTAAAAGCTGCATCAAACTCGACTGGCACAGAGGCACGACGTGCGCTCTCGGCTTTTGTTTGCGCCATGACGGATGAGAAACGGGTAGTGGGCATACGATGTCCCATAGTCAGATTGGTATTACTCCCGTCCCTAACAGTCAATGGCTCGTCCGTGGTTCGTGTGTCAGACTCGTCCTCGTGAACCTCTTGTAACACAGGACTGGCAGCAAGTAGACCGGTATCCTTGGAACGCAATCGTGTGGGCAGACGAGTTGTTTTAAACAGTTTGTTGAGTTGTGGCTCTGAATGCGAGTTGACCGAGGACCGACTGTAATTGCCTGACTCGTGTACGCGCGATGATGGCCGACTAAAATGACCGGTTGCGGGAACAGGTAACGGACGATGATATGCGGACTCGTCAGGGAGAATTTCGAAATCTGGGGAATTCATCATGCGGGTACCAATTGATGGGATGCGACTGACCTGTTACACAGTCGGGTAAGAGGGAATCAATTTTATGTCAGATAAGGCGATTAGGAGCATTGAAACATAGGACACAAGAAAAATTTAAAGAGCAAAAGAAATGTCAAAAAATCGTAAACAAAACTTCAACAAAGAATACAATTTAAACTTTAAAACTCAGCAAACTGAACGAAAACGAATAATGAGTCGAGAAAACTAAATGTAGTTATCAGTGCAATGGGAAAAATAGTGTGCAATACGATCTTCGTGATCATAACCATGATCGCTAATCGTAGCTTGAACATATCTCGATTTGGCCCATCCTTCTAAATGATTTTACTCAAAAAAAACTATTGATGTTAATTGGTAAGCATAAACTTGGCGGATATATCCCATGGCTAGGAACAGTGGATTACGAAGTTCGTACAAAAGGTTCCTGTTAAAGCGCTGCTTTTTTAAAGCTAGAACGGACACTAAATGTGATCTCGATGAGCAAGTAACCCAACCATTTGGCCGCCGTTCATCAATCACAATAGAACTCCGTGACAAAATAAAACAATCCGGGAATCGAGATATCTGCTAATATTTCGTCGTGACAAAGCCAATTTTGTCCGGTACACTGCAAATGCATCAGGTTACGATTTGTTAGAAAACACTTGTATTAAATGTGAGATCACATTTTCGTGGTTCTGAAGTGCATTGAATGAATAGTGGTTGGATAAGCATAACTATTAGTGGGTCTGGACATTTTCGCCTGCCCAGTTCCGATATTACCATTAGAGGTTGGCAGTCTTCGAGCACATTTCGTTATTCGACTAATGTAATTTGGGCAGATGATTGGAAGCCAGTTCGGAAAAACCAAGGGTAAATGTTACCACTCAACCTTTCAATCGACCTCAACTAATCGAAAATTGGATACCCCGATCATTTGAATTGGTACTGGGTCAACAAGACTTGCGAAATGTATAAAAAAAACTGGAACCAACCAAATAAGACCAGTTAGCTACCTAATTTGACTGCAGTTTGTCGGTATGAACCCATATCTGTGTTTTAACGCTAGATTTGGTGATGGAAACAGGTTGTTGAGCGGATGAAAAGTACACGCGAGAAGTCGACCCCCAGTAAGTGCTTTTCACTGGGTTTTGCGAAGCCAAAGTTCGTCCTTAATAGATGGAACAGATGTGCCAAAACAGATCCGCATGATTAACCATGCTGTAATGAAAGGGCGGACTAAAGTGCGAACGATGTTTGCCGAGGCAGGAAGCGGTTGTAAAAAGGTCAAGGGTGATCAGACTAAGGTCTGACATGAAGGTATGAAAACCCTAACCGGGACAATAGGGACCCTGAGATGATGCTCACTGAGCGTCAGAGACACAGTGATATTAACCAAATGTTGAAAATTGGTTCTCGTAGCTCGGGTGAACTGTAATTCCACTTCGCCTGTTCGCACCAGTTCAACGGCGAACCGAGTTGAACATAGTGAGAACAGGGAACGAAAATAATCGGTGGAGAAGAACACATATATAAACGAACGGGTACAAGCAGAACACTGCCACTTCACAAACACTGATGATATCACCTCGGTTGGTGATGAAACGTTTGCAAACAAATTGTCAAGCTCGGCGAACAGGCGAAATGGAACACTGAGTGATATGGCTGGGTATCGCAAACAGTGGCGCTTGTGCATCTACTCATTATTATCCTAACACCTCTCTATATGAATTCTCCATCTTGCTCTTGTATCCAAATGGGAGGCCAAAAGACAGCAATCAAAACCGGTGCACGAAAATGCATGGTTACTGGTAGTAAAAACTGAACTGAACTGCTTCAAGTCGTAAGTAGTGATTGCTATCCATGACCTCAACGAAAAAGAACTCGGTGAGAGTGGAATGGTAAGGATCATGAAATGATCGCGGGGGTCGTGATTGAAATACAATGTCTATCCAAAATCTTTAATGGTGAAACGCACATCAAGACGACACGGCATCATGACATAGCGTGATGGTACGTGTGCCTCCATGATCCTGCGAGCTATACAGGATGACTTTTCACAGCCAGGCCTAGAAGTTCAAGGCGTAGAGGCCAGAAAAAGCTCAGCCTCAAAAGCCTAGCTGACTGAGCAACTTTTGAACACTTCTGACTACTCGCTCTCGCCGTTCAAGAGGTCACTCCACCAAATAAACATGGAAAGCAGCAGTTTAACGGTAAAAAAAACCTAGCTAGATGGACGGAGGAGCGGGTTACGTAAGGCTTCCCAAAGACGGTGGTAGAAGTTTTCGCACTTCGTTTAACAGCTACTGCCCGCCCAAGCTGGGCAGCCTGCAGTCAATTAAGTGTCATCTGGTCCAAGTTCCGCCTGTCTCGCTGGGTGCATGAGCGTCGATTTTGAAAACCGAACTGTCAAACAACGCACCATTGAATAACACATTGGACCGAAACCCAAACACCTTGCGTGACAGGTCACTAGAAGCTTCCATAACGGTGCTTCGGTTACGCTCTCACGCTGGATATACGCCCAACTGGGTCGGGCTATTAACTCGAAAACTCCGGTTAGAGTTGCCAAAGAGAAGCCCTATCTTCGGTCTCGATTAACGAGAGGTATGTCGTGCTCTAAAGTCTAAAAATCCATCTAAAAATCGACCTTACTTTGGTTGGGGCATGTGTTACGCAGGTCGCCTTATAGGTTGCCAATGTGCGCGATGTTTGTCGAGGCAGGTGTCGGGTGGAAAAAAAGGCACGGGGGATCAAAAAAAGACCTGGCAAGAGGGTATGAAAACACCTGTCATATAGGTCGTGATAATTGTAATCAATGGTTAGAGACACTCAGTGATATGGCTGAGTGTCTTAAACAGTGGAGCTCGTTCATCTTCTTAATTGCGTGGTTCACGCTTGCGTGCCCAGTGGGTGTTGCCCACGAAAAAGTGAACTTGATTTGGTATGGAGCCATTTACCAACAGACTGTTTCACCACCTGATTCACTACTTCGGTCATTAAATGGTGGGCTTTATTCCAGGAGAAAGCCAATAACTCCAGCCATTACTACATCATTATTCAGTTGGAGCCGAACGACCGCCATTAGCCAAACCGTCAGAGAAAAGGGAAAAAGGGACCCTGTGTGACAAGTACATTCTTTTAACGGATTAGAACCCCAAGGACGCACATCAATATTTGTATACAGAGACAAAGAACAAAGACATAAGTCATCCGGACTGAGTAGCAATCGTCACGAACTGACTCCATGACATTCTGGTCTCAATGATGCCTTTCACAACTGAATGATAACTAGTCAGTAGACGTGGTAGTCCTAATAAATGCACTGTAAACTCACAGAAGACGTCTGACCGGACATCAACATCAAAAAGCGTGGTGTTCGTAGGCGGCCTCGCTGTGACGAGGATCTAGCTTAGGATGGTTTGGTAGGGAATCCCTAAGAAGATCAACAGCTCCAGCTTGTAAAACTAAGAAACCCTTAAACATACCATGACGTGATTTGATTCTCAAAAACATGCTTGCCCCGTGATCTGTCTATCAAGTGTTGCCTGCATCCAGAAAAGTGCTGCGTTTATATATTCGCACCGGCCTCCATTGGTCTATAAGAAAGTTTACAACAAACAAGTGAACCTCTTCATTCATCTTAGGAGACCACTTACTGCTCCACCTCGCTCGCATTTTGGCCCGATCCACGGTGTGAACAACGAGTGAAGAACATTTTCCTCTGTTTTCGAGAGGACAAATGATCCGTGTCCCAGTCGAAAGATTCGGGGAGGAAGAGAAGTGGAGAAAGAATCGGATGAATAGCATAAGTCGACGCAGACGTGCAAAAATGATTATCGTAATTGAAACCATTCAACCACTTAATCAAACGGATATAAGGAACATGAAAATAAATTGACGTAATGAACACCTGATGATCACGTCCTTTGTATTCACTGATCCAATTGTATGGAACATTTGCCGTGGAAAAAAATTAATTAGTTACCAACGAGTTACCCGTTCTATGAGCGTATTATATACAGGAGAGAGATTCAGACACCTACTTTGTCATCAGACTTCGCTCTGTGGTGAAACAGAGTAAGTTAGTCAATGAATTCAACAGACATAGTGAGTTACTGGAATAGGTGGCTGATTAACTCGCCATTTGATTTCTTGTCTAGTTTACGTTTTACGTCAGCACAACGCGTTGCGAGAAAGGTACCCTGTCGAGAATTGTGTATTCCAAGGGGTGGGGGAGGATAAACGGACTTTTACTATAATGTATGGCAGTATTAGCACATTGGAAGTTGTGCAGGTATCTTTCCCGGTGAAGGGCGGTCAATGTATGTAAAAGACAAAACGAATCCAGACAATTGGGACCGATGAGTGCAATGCGTCTGTTCCTCAACACTAAGCGTTGAAACGTCAAAGAGATTCACCTCTGTATCCCTCCGATGAGGTTGAAACCCAGATCCACACGATCAAAGCAAAAAAACGATGGATAACATCGACCTCAGCTGCCGTGCTGGATACGGTGGAACACTGCCTCCTGATGCCGCATATGACAGCACGCAAATCCCTTAAACGCCAGTTCATCAAGAGTGTGAGGAGTGACCGAGAGAAGTGGTGGGTAGGAAAGTGTAGAGAGATCGAGAAAGCTTCGGCTGTGAGTATAAGGTCCCCAGGAAAATAGGCATAATTGAGGAAGTTAAGCAATCCGTCATCGTCATCAGCAACGCCATCTCGATGGATGTGCTGAACATTTAGAGGCTCAGTTGAACTGACCCCGTATCGAGAATTGAACGGTCACTCCCCAACTCGACTACGCAAAATCTCCTGGTGATGGCAGCCCTACATCGGAAATAGAGATTGCCAGGGTAATCAAAAAGGTATGAGGCATCCGGCCCAGATGGGCTGCTCCCATCGGCGCTTAATTAAGGAGGTTCAGCGTTAGTCTTGGAGCTGACGAAACTCCTGGCTTCTCGCATAAATGTGATTGTAC